ACACACACACACAAACATCCGGCCGCAGTGTGATTAAATCTTTAAGGAAAGTAGCACTGGCTGAAGGGATAAGTAGGGCCAGTATGTGGGGGCTAACAGCTGGGCGGAGAGTGGCTTTTAATCCTGCCGGGTTTTAACATGATGGAGGGAAAAACAGCAATCCAGGGCGTGGGTTCTGAATCCTCCTCCTGCTAACATTGCATCCCTGCATTTCCAAAGATTTAAAGGGGAAAATTAAATACAAATAAATTCCGCATCACATGTGGATGTTTATATTAAGTACATGCCCCTTTGTATCAATTGTAACATTTCCAAAATGTTCATAAATTAAGCATGCTTGTTACTTTTTGTTTTTGTCAATGGTTGCAGGTAACTAAGTACGTATATTAAAGTACCTAAGTAGAATACTGAAGTACTTGTACTTGGCTCCACTAAATTAAAAAAGGCAATGTATTATTTGTACTCCATTCAATGTATCTGACAGCTTAAAGGCGCCCTATTATGCTCGTTTTCAGGTCATATTCGTATTTTCTTTCTCTACTGTGACATGTTTACATGCTTTAATGTTCAAAAAGTGATCATTGTTGTGATTGTTCAACCGCTTAGATATGTCCCGCCCCTTAGTCTATCACCTGTAATGTGTTGAAGCGCTAGCCAATAGGAGTGTGAGTGTTAAATAGTGATGTCACTATCATACAGAAATGAATGGAGGAGTCCAATGGAGGCGTTTCAGGCAGGGTTGTTTGGTAGAGAAACTCCCTCTGGGGGAACTTTTGGATTTGAGCATTTGCAAACCATTACATGCACAAAACCCTATATTATACACTACAGGAAAGGGAAAACCCCAAAAAAACATAAAAGGGCTTGTTTACAATTACTTTTCAGATTAAAAATGTTGCATTAAAGTATCACTATCTATAATATTACGAATCATTTATGAAAGAAAGTCCTATAAATGATTAATTTCTGTATCAGAACTTTGTTTGTTTTCAACATTAAAATGCTGCTTTATGCAAGGTAGCCAAGTTTCACGACTGAGCTACTACCGCCCCATTTGTTGTCCAAAGTACAGTTCGTTTTGCAAAATCTAGAAGTAAGAAGGGATTAGAGTACGTTATTAAAAGGATATTTATTTTTAGCCTAACAATAATTATGGGGGTAATTTAGGTCTCACTATCACTCAGCAAACAGCACAACAATCATCCTCACACCTCTCTAAAACTGTTTTTAGTCAGGTCAGGATTTCTCTTTCGAAAGGTGATCCTGGATGGGAAGGAGAAATGTTTTCAGACTAATAACGCAATGTAAATGAGTGCATGTGTAAGTAAGTAACATCTGAACAGTGATGGGTATTTTCAGTGTGAAGCTATCAGTAACGGCCTTCAGATACCCGTATTGGTCAAAGCCTGGTCTGATAAACCTAAAGCTCTTCCTAACCTTCTTCCAAGCTCTTATCATCCACAAAAGCCACCACTGTCAAAACCTTTGATCTGACTGCAGACTACTGTGTGTGTGTGTGTGTGTGTGTGTGTGTGTGTGTGTGTGTGTGTGTGTGTGTGTGTGTGTGTGTGTGTGTGTGTGTGTGTGTGTGTGTGTGTGTGTGTGTGTGTGTGTGTGTGTGTGTGTGTGTGTGTGTGTGTGTGTGTGTGTGTGTGTGTGTGTGTGTGTGTGTGTGTGTGTGTGTGTGTGTGTGTGTGTGTGTGTGTGTGTGTGCACCCGCACCCGCACCCGCACCCGGAGGCCTGGCCAATCTCAGCTGTGATGCAGGCCGGTGACAGGTTCTAATGCTGGGGCGAGAGGCTGCACGGGCCTCCATGCTCACTCCTGCGATAATACTGACCGACCTCCAGAAGCATACAAACACACGCACTCACTCTCACACACACACTGGCTTAGCCTCCTGATAACTTTTCTGCACTTCAGAAGCAGCCTGTGTGTGTGTTGGATTGATTTTTCAAAGGATTCCCCTTTAGTGCCAGCAGCAGGCCCTCCATCAAAGCCGGCCACGAGAGCCTGTTAGATGTGTGTGTCTGTGTGTGTATGTGTGTCAACCAGCCCTGTGTTTTGCCATAGAGGTGATATGATGTTATTATGTCCCGCAAGGTTGATTTAGTGCTGAATAACTGGGATGTGTGTGTATATGTGTGTAAAGGCTGAATTTAATTTTGTAGCTCATCTGGACCACACAGCTTAGTGTGGATCATTGCTTATAAACACGCTTAAACCTCTAGCTAACCATTTGGCGGAGGTTTTACATGCCTAGGTATTTTAAAACATTATTAAATCATCCATTCAAAGCACCCCAGTCTTAGTGTGCAGGTAGACTTGTAGAATGGTGGGATGTAAGCGCATTCACCTCTGCCCCTCATGGCATTCAACGCAATAATGCTTTTTCAATCATTGTTCTGCTGTATCTTAAAGCTCACCTATTATGCTATATTTAAACAATATATTATGGGGCCATATCTATACAAAACATGTCTCAAGTGTTTTGCTCAAAATACCAAACAGATCACCAGTGTAGCATGCCTCATACCCCTCTATTTCAGCCCTTTTCCAAAAGTGCTGATTCTGGGTCTGGACCTTTAAATGTAACCGAGCTGCTGCTGGCCACGCCCCTTTGGAGTCTGCATGCAGAGAAGAGAAGGCTGTCTAACGGCAGAAACTCAGCTAAACGCTGTCGTGATTAAAGGCCATATTATGTTCCAAAACACATCAAGCATTATTTCTGAAACAGTATGGAGTACAAACGCTTTCTCTCTCACGGGTTTACCACAAGGTGAGTAACATACACACATACTCTCTCCAGTACAGCGTTAGCTCTGAGTGTTAGCGATGCTTGCCAATGTAAACACAGACCATATTACTTCCAAAATACGTTGCGCATTGTTTCTGAAACAGCGACGTTTCTGATAGGGAATGATAGGGCCTTGGGCGGGACGTTTCCAGGAGTACAACGTAAAGCCAGCCCACATTTTAGTAATGTCGTCATGACCGCAGCAAATCTGGATCAGCTCCGTTGTACCCCCGCTTTTAGAGATGTGGTTAAGGAGGAAAAGAGAGAGGGTTGGAATATTGGAACTTTGCAGGATTAGAGGATCTCTTCTGTCCTTGTCTTCACTTTAGTCTTTTTCCACTTTCCTTGTCTTCTTTGTACTGTTCTGTGTTTTGTCATGAGAAAAAAAAAGGGACTTCTTAATTTCCTATGAAAAACATGTGTATTGCACATTATGAGGGTATTGATAATACTTGTATCACTAATAACACAGATAATGATTTTGTATAAAATATATTATATATGTGACTTGAATGAATCATAATGGTCTCATGGATTCTCTTCACTAGTTGACTGAGTTGGACTAATGGACTAATAAAACATTTTAGCAGTCAACATTTCAAATGCATGGTTGAAAATGCCGTTTTGTTGTATAGATAGAAACACCTTTTTTTAGCAGACCTGGTCTGTTTCACCTTTATACTGGTGTCACTGAATGGTCTGTGTTTGACTCTTCCTCTTGGATTTGATTTGCCACTTGGGCAGGTTTTCCCACCAGATAACAGTTTAAATCAAGTTGATATTGAGAAGCGTGTGTGCTTGTTGGAGTCGTTTCCTGTGCCTCACCGTCTGTCACATAGAGATATAATTGACCTGATGATGATAATCATGATGATAAAGATAAAGCAGAAAAGGAAGCCTAGAGGTCACGTGTTTGTATCGTTGCTTTTTAGCATGCTGAGTCACGGGAGCATTTTATTGACATCACCTCTAAATCGTCCCTTTCAGCCTTTATCACCTCTCAGTGCTGGCAGCCACAGTGACCAATTCAAATGAACACACTGATAGAATAATCCAGTTGTTTTAGTGTCTGCATGGCGGCGTGCCTGGCTGCCTTATCACACACACAAACACACACACACACACACACACACACACACACACACACACACACAGAGAAACAGGTTGCAGACTCTCTGGCTCCAAAGCACAAGATCTCTCTGATTGCAGAAATTACGGCAGACAGAAAGGAGAAAAGATTAAGGTGCAGTGTAGGTCTGTGTGGATTTGGTTTGACAGGCATGAAGATTGTGGTGTGCTCACAAGTTGTTTGTAATGTGTGTGTTTGTGACTTTAAACCAGCTGAACCGGTGGACCTCAGTGGAGCTGGTGTGTAGTTCATTTACGTTCAAGCAGAAATGTTTGGCTTTTGTATTTAATACTGAAACAAAGAGTCATACTTTGAAATGTAAATTCAATTTGTTTTTGTTAAGAAAAGAGATCTGGTGTCAAAACATGTGGCATTAAATTCAGTGTGGGAAAGTGTTTACTTTCCAAAAAAAGGTTACAGTTAACACACACTACTGAGGTAGTCAGATAAATCCATTCATTAAGCAAAAACAAGATGCTGTATCAGTCAGATGTTTAGCAATGGCCCAATAAATATTTTCGCCATACGTTGCAAGTGTACCTAATCTTTTTTCAGCTCTGTTTTCCAGCCTGAGTCTATTTACTTTATTGTTTTGGTTGTGTGTGATTTAATACATTTTTTATAATTTAATGAATTTGTTTTATTTATTATATATAATTTATGTATTTGAATATTATTTCACATTTCATTTGCAATCTTGAATGTTCAATAAAAAGTTCTGTTTGAAAGGATCTACTTGAATTATTATTATATATTATCATTATGTCAGTGGTCTAAAATGGTCTTACAACGGTGCCGACAATATTATCGTTTATCGCAATAATTTTCCGGGAAAATGTATCGTCCAACAAAATTAATTATCGTGACAGGCCTAGGTTTGATCCCCATGCTCTGCAGTCAACATGTCCAAATGTCATGGGCAAGATATTGTAATCAAGTAATAAATTGCCTCGATCCTGATCCTGCAATTCAGCTCATTATTGGATAGTTGGTAGAGCTGCAAATATTGCTGCATTCCTCAATCTATCTGGTCATCAAAAGAGTCCTAACCAGGTGTTTGTTTTTTACATGCAGGTCAGTTTGAGGGGCGCGGCGTGACCCTGCTGGAGGTGTGTGGCAGCTGGCCGGAGAGCTTCGGCGTGCCGCGTCACAACTATGGCTCCGTGGACGCCAGCGACGAAGGCCTCCGGGAGAGACTGGCCGACGCCATGTCCGAGTCCCCCTCCAGGGATATAGTGGGATCTGCTACGGGTAATTAGAGATTGTTCAACACACAAATGCATGCACATACAAACATGTTGAATGTCCTCTTCCGTTGCTATTTCTAGGTCTGTCACTCAGGGATTACTTGAGATGCAAATGGAATACAGGGAAGTTAATCCTGCTACATTTATTCTGATCCCTTTTTGGTACCACTTTACAATAAGACTACCCTTATAAAGGATTCATAAAGGGTTTATAATTAGGTTATTAATTAGGTTGTAAACACTTTATTAATCATTAAGAACCATTTATAAACCAGCTCTAACATAGAAGGCATCGACACAGGCTCACTATTTGGCAAGATGACTAAGCCTTATATTGGATACCTAGCTTACTTCGTCTTCTTCATCAGCCACCATCCTTGGTATCTGTTGTTCACTGAGGTGATTCCCCCCTTCCATCTTGATGTTTCTTGGCACCTCTTTATGACCATTTATTTATGAGTTTACTAACATTTATAACTGCCAAAAGGGAGCCTTGTAAAGTGTAAAACACATTCCCATTTATTAATGAGTTACTACCATTTATAATTAGTTTAAGTTATATTAAGCCTCAAAGTTATGCATAAATTAGGGCGTGATCACATTGAGTGACAGATCTGTCCAGTGACTGCTGCTGTTAGCTTTCTGTTCTGCTAGCAGCTCCGTGATGCTACAGGGGCTCTGCCTGCTCAGATCATCCGGGGAACATAACTTGAACTCTGCCGTGTTTGTTGTGCTGGTGCCTTGTGGACTATTCTTCATGCTTAGATCGGACTATTGTGACTCGCTCCGCGTTTAAAACAGACGGTGCATGAATGCAGTTTTACGGTGAGTGAAATTCGAGTACTTTATTTATGTGTTGCTTATGTTTTGAGTCAGCTAACGTTAATGAATGTTAAGGCTTGGGTTAGATCTGTTACATCTGTGCTAACGATGCTAATCGTAGCCTCCAAGTTCAAACGTAATAGAGAAGCGTTAAGCATTAAGTGGGATAATACTGTAGAACAAACGGCTTCTGTTTGAGGTTGGTAAAATAAGGTCATCCTTGTAAGTTAGAGAGATATTTTATTAGGTAGGTAACTTTATGCATTGATAAGGTTCATTTAAATGTGCTATGATCGATTATGTAGACAAGCTAACGTCAAAGCAGTGTTGAAGAGCGGCGTAGTGTATGTGCAATCAACCTCACAATAAGATGTGTGTATATTACAAATATTAATGTCATATTTCAAGATGATTACTTAGATATTACAATATGGTTGGTTGAGCTGGAGTTCATTATTGAGCTTACACGTTAACGTCACAGTCATCTGAAGAACGAACCCAAACCTTGTTCTTTTTATTAATTGTATTACCAAATTGGTATCAAATAAATAGTAAGCATTGGTAACACCAATGCTGATAAAGAAAACTATTTTATTTGAGTATTCTAGGGATGCTCCGATCGCCAATTTTGGGGCCGATCGCCGGAATCAGTATCGGCCAATACCGATCGCCGATCCGATCGAGTGGGCGGGGCCTATGGGGATCTTCCATTTAAAGTGATGTTTAAAACTCAGTTAATGGGGCTCAGTTAATGGGGCTCATTCACTGGCGCTTCCACAAACAACAACCAACATAATTATTACATTCAAATGAAGTACATTATTCAAGTGTACATTAAAGGGGACCTATCATGCAAAATGCACTTTTGTACGTCTTTTATACATGAATATGTGTCCCCGGTGTTCCAGGGAACTCACCAAGTGTCAGAAAACACAACCCTCTCTATTTTCCTCCATACCCAAATCTCTAAAAAAGGGGCTGCAACAGATCTGATACAGACTGATCCAGATTTGAACACTTCTATGTCGTCACAGAAGTGGCGCTACGGCTATTGGGCCAACTCTCCACCTATCAGGGGAATGTGGGGTTGGGCCACGGCCGGCCATTGCCGCTCGACAGCACTGGAGACGCTGTAGTACATATGCCAGGCCTGTAAGTGGCGCTGTAGTCTGCCACAAAAGCAGCGAAGAAGACTTCCCGCCCATAGTTACCATGGTTACCCTTCTGTTTATTCTCTGCTGTGGCTTTTTTTCTCCCTCCCCGAGGCAAGCGTTTGCTCCCGCTGCTTTAATTCAATGCAATCCCTCCCCATCGAGGCAAGCACTGTAATTCTCTCCGGTTAGTCCACCAGCAGATGACAAACACCCACCTCTCCGCCTCTTCCAAGGAACGAGGGGACCGTGCGACAGAGTTTCAGTTTCTTTCGCCGGTCAAGATGTCCGTTAAAGTTTAAATCTTCCGGACAAAATTAGAAAAGTGCCGGTCAAAGGTCTTCTTTGTTATTTATTGAGCTTTAAAACAAATGAATAACGACTCTATATAATAAAACACGGAGGACGGAGATCTCTTTTTCTCCCCCTCTTCTGACAGCCCAGCAGCTGATCAGAGCACGGCTCACCTCTCCTGCAGGGGGGCGTGGTCAGCAGAATCAGACCCGTAGACAGCAAACAGCACAGAGAGCGAAATGAGGCATGGCTAAAATGCATGATCTGTTTGGTATTTTGAAAACAGAAACGTATAAATATACCTTGTATAGGTATGGCCCTACAATATATCATTTAAATATAGTATGATAGGTCCACTTTAACTTTGGATAATAGCACGGGAGCCTCTCTCTTTCCCTCACCCTCTCTCTCTCTCTCTCTCTCTCTCTCTCCTGACAGCCGGTCCCTATCCGTCTCATTCAGCTCACTGATCCAGTAATGAGTGATCCGACAGTGAAGAATAAACATATTTATAACTAGTTTAGCTTATTCCAGAGGTAGATAAAAGTGTGTTAGGTCTAACTCTTAGTGTGTGTTCTGCTCCGCTCACCGGTCCGTCACAGCGGGTGGAGCTGCAGGATTTCTGCTTCACACACGTTGCATATCGCTATTTTATTGTCTTTTTTGGACACCTTAAAATACTGCCAGACTGGTGAAGCCATTTTGGCGAGCTTGTTTTGCCGCGCACAGAGAAAAGTGTCATGTATTTTACGTCATCATTTTACGTCATGCGATCGGCTCTCGCGATCGGCATTTATAGAGAGCACCGATCGATCGGCCGAGAGTGAATATCGTCCGATATCGATCGACGGCCGATCGATCGGAACATCCCTAGAGTATTCCTATGTTCGGCAGTTAGAGATGGGTTTTCTTGTACAAGAGAAAAAAGAAAAAAAGCGGAGACTAGTGTTGAAACTAGTGGAGAAAGGATCAAGATGCCACCTTGTCCCTCTGATTAGGCGGCATATTAAGTCAGGAATTAGCATTATTAGTGATGAGTGGAGGGCATACAGGAAAGTGCTGAGTAACATGGGGTACAACCACTGCACCATAAACCACAGCAGGTGGTTTGTGAACCCCCAGACGGCAGTCATACCCAACATATAGAAAGAGCTTGGTCGACCGTCAAAGGAGATGTCCGTAGACTGAGAGGAAACCCTACAGAGAGTTTGTTGGAGGAACACCTCAAGGTTCTTGAATGGTCATCTTGGCTTGGCTCTGCTCACCCTGATGGACTGCTTGGATGCTTGTTCAAGAATATACACAAAGCCTTTCCAGTCTGAGTACCAGTATGTCTTACCAAGTCTTTCATTTATGTCTGAGAAAAGCTTTTATGTTTAAATATGTGTATCAGTCATACTAAACAGTCATTACTTTGAGTCCTAATTTTCTTCATGTGTGAATAAAATGTTTTGCTTGGCTCTTTTGCATCTTACTTTGCATTTCATGTGAAAAATGTGTATGAGGTCAGCGTGAATGTTATAACTCATTCATAAATGGACATGTGTATTAAACTTAAAAACAACGCACCCTTTCAGTAGTTATAAATGTTAGTGACTCATCAATAGATGGTGATGTCTTTCACACTTTACAATAAGGCTCCCTTTTACCAATTATAAATGGTAGTAACTCATTCATACATGGTCATAAGAGATGCCAAGAAACATCAAGATGGAAGGGGGGAATCAACTCAGTGAACAACAGATACCAAGGATGCTGGCTGATGAAGAAGATGAAGTAAGCTAAGTAGCCAATATAAGACTTAGCAGTACAGATAAATGTGGGCTCACTATTTGGCAAGCAACCGGTCACAGTTGCCCTGTTTATCTCATGTCTTATAAAAGCTTATTAAGGATTTATAAAGTGTTTACAACCTAATTAATTAATTAATTACAAACTATTCGTAAACCCTTTATAAGGGTAGTCTTATTGTAAAGTGGTACCCAATTTTTTTATATAAACTTTTTAGGGTGTGGTTACTGATAAAGGGAGCTTAAAGACAATGATTTGGTAATGAAAAGAAGATATACTTATTGATACATAAGTGACAAATATACCGCAGAGTAAATCCGTTTTTTAGATATAGAATCTACAGTTTCAAATGTCTTCTAATACTTTTCGACCTCATCTCTTGTCAAAATAATGACTCAGATGAGTGCCTCTCCCTTTTTATCATATTTCTTTTTAAATAACTTTTTTACCTTGTAAATTTAAAGAATATCTTTAACATTTGGCTTACAGTGATACAATAATTCTACCTCAAACCAAAATATGTTCTTAAAGTGCATAAATGCCCTTGAGCAAAGTGATTTAACATCTTTTAGCAGTATAAGTATTTTCACACACGAAAAAACTATTTGTTGTGGTCCAGTGCAGCTAAATTACTTTTTAGGTAGCCTGACTTCCTCACTGTAGCATTACCCAGAATACAGTGCTGCCAGGTCAAGGTCCAGTGATGGATACATGTGTGTGTGCATATGTTTGCTTGCTAGGTTTTGGTATATCTGCACATGCCTTGCTTTACTTTGACACTTCCTGCCTGTGTGTGTGTGTGTGTGTGTGTGTGTGTGTGTGTGTGTGTGTGTGTGTGTGTGTGTGTGTGTGTGTGTGTGTGTGTGTGTGTGTGTGTGTGTGTGTGTGTGTGTGTGTGTGTGTGTGTGTGTGTGTGTGTGTGTGTGTGTGTGTGTGTGTGTGTGTG